TTTGTATAGATGTTTGTATATATATGTGTATGTTTTTTATTTTGTATATATATTTATATTTTTATTTGTATATAGATATGAATATATATGTATATTTTTTTTTGCTGTTTATTTATTTTATTTTAAATTTAAAAAAAAAATCGATTTTTTTCATATTTTTTCGGAATTTTTTTAAAAAATATGACGTGGCATGCTGATGTGGCAAAAATCTATGTGGCGTACCACGTCAGCCGCCACGTGGCGTGCCACGTCAGCGGTTAACGGACACTTAACATCGTTTTCGGATTGTGTAGGAAATTGCAGTTAAATTGGGTAGTTCGTGTATCAATTTGGCACATTTGATAATTTAGTGTAGTTTTTTGTCAAATTAAAAATTCGTGTAGGAAAAGGTCACATTTTGCAAAGTTGGTGTAGGAAAATGTCATTTTCCCAAAAAAATAACACTAATAATAATGAGAGTAAAAATTAAAATATTAAAAAAATTAATAACCGTTCAGTTAACAACGATTATTCAGTTATTAATCGAATCAACCCGAATCCGAACGGTTATTCAACTTTCTCAATCATTCCGTTATTAAACAAATAAACGAACTGAACCGAACTTATTCAGGTAAGTTATTTGGTTAATAAGCCAAATGGCACCCTTAGACAGTGTCTGCACTCGCAATCCAACGGCTAGAAATAGATCTTTAATGGATTATACGATCCAACGGTTTTCAAAGAAACAACATCCAAGTACAATCCAACGATCCAAAACAAAAGACCATGCATGATCCAACGGTTATTATAAAAAGCTGCACTGAAAGAAGCTGTTCTTCATCCCACAGGAACACACGAATTTTTTTTTCATCAACGGAAAAAAAAACAAAAAAAAGAGTAACATATCGACGAATTGATTAATGCATTCGCTGGATCAAAAGGGATCTACGACTCGTTTACTTCTCGACCCGACCCGAGACGTCCGTCGCGAGCCGCGACGCGATCGCCGAATGGTACATGACGTCGTGGAACGTCGAACCTTCCGCGGTCTTCCTCCGCAGTTGCTTCGCCTTCTCCTCCGTCAAGCACCCGGGCGAGAACCTGTGACCAGGTCGATTCGGATCCTTACCCGACCCGGTTATTGCGATCTTGATGTTTTCCGGATCCAGGTCCCGGGTCATCGAGCAACTCTCGGCGTTAACGTAATCGGGATCGGAGGACCAGCCGAAGAGAGGAGCCCACCAAGAAACAGATGAAGCGGGTTTCTTCCGATTAGGGTCGGGTTTTCTGACGGACCCGGGTCCAGTTGATGCTTGGATCATTGATGGAATGGAGCAGGAAATTATCGTGGCCATGGCCAAGACGCATACAGAGAGAGAGAGAGAGAAACGTGAAGAGTGGGATCTTGGGAAGAAGAAGAAGAATGAGGTAAAATGTTTGGGGTTTGAGGTTGTGATATTATATGTAATCAACCTCTTTAAGAACGATTTTTTTATCAACGTCAGGGTATTGTGGGAAACAACGTGCAACTCGCCATTGCGTGGTGCATGGTATTTATGTGGAAGTAGAAGTAGGAGATTATACTTTAAATAATTTGGATAAGGTTAAACACGTGGAGCTGACGATTGTCTATATTTGGTGCACTTTTCGCTTTTTTTTTTCTTTTTCTTTCCAGGTTTTATATTTTATTAATGAATGAATTAAGGAACCATTTCCCGTGTGTGACGTGGCGCTTTGTCACCTTACTTGGAGATGTACATCCATGACGTTGACAAATGCCAAATTGAAAATACGAACAAATCTCAAAGTAGCTTCATGGGCCAAATTCGACCCAAACCCACGAAGAAATTTCGGCCCGTGAGATCGGACTGGGTCTCTGCAAAAGGGTTGATACACTCGCACGTGCCTGTATCCCGCACGTGGCAAGTCAGTCCAAAGCCCAACAAGAGAGCTTCGGCTGCGCCATTTCCCCCGAAGAGGAGAAGAAAAAAGCAGTGACCGATAAATCATCTTCTTCATCGTCGGTCCTCCGAGAAACAGGGCGTGACCTGGGATATCAACACAACACCATAGCCACATCCTTCGTTTCATCATCACGATGTGGAGAAGAATCGTTTCCTCTCACCTTAAAACCCTAGCCGCCGCTCCGTCCCTCCGATCGGCCGCCGCCGCCGCCAGGCCTGTCAGCTCATGTCTCACCGCCAATCGATCCGCCATTTCTGCTTCTTCTTCTGTTTTCCCTCGCTGCTTCAGCTCCGAATCAGGTGATAGACCCCAGCTGTAGTTTTTACTTGTCCAGATCTCGCGCTGGGAGTTATTTATGTGGTAGAATTTGATGCGATTCGCCGACGTATAATCTCTTCTGCCATATCATTTCTGTAGATGTTGAAGGATGGATATGTATATGTATTGATTTGAAAAGGGAAAAAAGAGATTGGTGATGTTCATGTTGTCCTTAATCTAGAGCACTGTATTTTAAATATGCTGTGTTTTGCTAAGTAATGGAGGACGACTTCGTGCTTAAGCTGTGATATTGTATCTGAAGTTTCGTTCTCTCCTCTTTGGAGCCATCGATGAATGATTATCGTTGCGTTTGTACATTGCAGCGGAGACCTCTGTGAAGAAGAAGGTGGAGGATGTGATGCCTATCGCAACCGGACATGAGAGAGAGGAACTTGAAGCTGAGTTGGAGGTGATTGCTTATGTTTCTGTTTTACATGTGTTTAATATCTCCGTGACAAGAGTGCATCATTTACTTCGCTTGTGTTCATGAGAAATTAGTTACGACTATTCTTCTATGTTACGCATTGAACAGGGAAAGAAGCTGCTTGACATCGACTCGCCTGAAGGTCCTTTCGGAACAAAGGTCAGTCTACTAACTTTGCAATACGAGAGAGAAATCTCGGTTTCATTTTTTTGTATGTTGTTACAGAGTGTAAATCTGTCACTGTTTCAGCAATTATATCAAGTGTATGTTTGTTTTAAGAATTGAATGGCCGGGTAACCAAAACAAGCCTAACTTAACAAACCATACACCACCTAACTCTAGTAGGGTAAATGGATTTATCTGTTTTTTTTTTGTATTGTTTTTATAGTGTCTGTGACCCTAAGTCTTTTATGTGCATTAATTCTGGCTAATTTCTCACCCATGTGGATTGATTTGTCCCCCCCCCCC